CAGCCACTCAAAGGACGTTCCCAAGAAGGTGGTTTGCGACTAGGAGAAATGGAGATTCTGGCTTTGATTGCCTATGGGGCAGCCAAGACTGTCAACGAAATAGGAGCCAAATCCGATGCCATTCATAAACGGCAAACCTTAAAAAATTTCTTGCTGTTTGGTAATCGTGCACCTAATTTGCAAAGCGTTGGCTGCGAATCTCTTAACTTTGCCCTACAATTTATCCGGGCCATTGGTTTTGATATTCAGGCCCGAGATTATCACGATAAAGAAATTGACTTTTATAAGTATTTTACTAAAAATTAACGTATGACGCTCATTAAATCGTTCAAATTAACCTGACTCTCTCCCCAACGATTAAAGCAACTTTCTTTTGGAGAAATTACTAATCCCAAAACTATTAATGCTCGCACTGGGAAACGAGTAAAAGATGGGCTTTTAGATCCGGTGAAGGGTGGCCCTTCCAAAAATTTTGAGTGCGAGTGCGGCGTGCTTAAAGGTGTTGATAATAAAGGGAGAGTTTGTGAGCGTTGTGGGGTGTTAGTAGACGAAAAATACATTAGCCGACGGCGAACCTTACACATCACTTTGGCTGTTCCGATCACTAATATTTTACTTTTCAAAACTTTGGTAAGTCAATGGAGTAAAATACTGGAAATTCCTAGTAAAAAATTAGAAGACATTATCTACTATCGGAATTATGTAGTGCTGAACAATGGCCTATCTAACTGTATAAAAAAAAAGACAATCTTAGGTAAACGAGTAGAATCCCAACTAATTAGTGCTATTCTGGACGAAATTATTGCTAAGGAAGAAGCAAAAAATAGTGCGGTTAATGAAGCCCAAAAATTAAAAGAAAAATTGAGGGATGCCGAAGAGGAATTAATTTTTCTCGAAGAATATTTAGATTTTATAGCGCAACACCAAAAAATAAAAATTGGTATTGGTTCCGAAGCCTTACAATTTTTATTGCGAGAAATTAATTTAGAAAACCAATTAGCCAAGGCCCGTGAGAAAAAACAATGAGAAAGAGTACGTTTTCTGCAAGCACTGATACAAAATAAAATTCAGCCAGAATGGATGGTAATGCAGCTCTTGCCTGTAATTCCTTGTGGTTTGCGCCCGGCTACTCAACTTAAAGAAGAAAGTACTATTGCTACCACTCAACTCAACAATCTTTACCGTCACGTCATTTTAATTAACGAC